GTCCACACTTTCTCTGCTCTCTTTTTCTCATGGTCTTCTCCTTCTTTCCCATCGCCCGGCTTGCCACAGGTTTGCCTGCTGTGTCTAAAAGTAGCAGCAGCAGCAACCCAGACTGACAGCTCATTGGCTGATTTGGATCACGTGCAATCTGGAGCCGGACGCGCAACAGGACTTTACCGTATTAACAGGAGAAGAGGCGCAAGTGAAGTTAGACACTGTCGTCCAACAACATGCGGTAATTTATAGATTGTTTTAAACCAGGTTGAGTCCGGATTAACCAGCAGGTTGGCGCTCTATGGAAATAAACCTTACTTAATTTACTAATACTTTTATAAATCCCAAATCAGCATTAGTTAAAAAGATGTAGATGTTTCTATTTATGTTTTTAGCATCAGTCATAGAAGATAAAGGTTAAGTTAGAAGTGGAAAATGTCAAACACCATTAAGAGAGAATACTTCACACCAAGGTTAGACATGCCTTCTATTGTTCACTGTGCAGAAATTAATTAGATAATCACAATCAGGTTTAAGTTTGAAGGGGAGGAGCCACTAAGGAGGACACAAGGAGGGGCTGATTCATGCTGAGATGGGGGACATACAGCAGCAGCCTGCACAGGCCCACAGTTCACATAGGAGACAGCGGGGCGGGGCTTGACCGAGCGCTTCCAGCTGCTAAGGAGAGTGAGGAGCAGCTCTGGGATGGAGCCGCTGCGGCAGTACGACTTCAGAGAGGAGAGGGAAGCAGAGGAGCAATGAACAGCACAGATGGCTAGAAGATTACTCAGAGAGAACCAGGAGAGAGGAGTCACTGAGATGAACGCTGAGAGAACTTAGTGTCGGGATGATGGTTACATACCCAGGAGGCGCTGCCCCCCTGCCCCTTCGCAAAGAGGAGGGAGGAACCCTGCAGCACGGTCCAGGAGGACGTCCAGTTCTTCCTGTTGGTTGCAAAAAAACACAAAATGATTTAGTGCTCTGCTATAGTGCTCCTCATCTCTGGACTCTACAGCTACAAAATTCACATCAGCAGGTTCTAACATTGTTATCAATAAACTGAAGCACATATTAGCAGCCACTGCAGAACCAGAATCAGAGTTTTTAACATTTAGAGATTAAAATCTGTATTTATAGTCTCCCTGGATTATATTATTTGCATAAAGGCCTGGGCTGAGTGAGTTATTATAACTGTGGCTCTGTGCTGCATGTCTATGGAAGAAAAACAGTCCCATTGGAATCTGACTTTTTTGCACACAGAATTTTAAACACTGAATTTTTTTTTTTTACACATTGAATTCCTTAAACTGAATTTATGTCTGGTAAAAATTCAGCTGCAAAAAATTATATTGCAAATGTGTTGACCTGTTGGTGAACTCAAGCCAAAGCAATGGACACTCGATGCAGTCAAGCAGCTCCTAGCCAATGAAATTAGCTCATTTTGTCAGAAAATGCAACTGATTTTTTTTTTTTTAATGAATTTTTTTGCGGCTTAATTTCTGCAAGATAAAATTTCAGTGTAATGAATTTACTGTGTAAAAAACATTCAGTGTTTAAAATTCGGTGTACAAAAAAAAAGGCAGATTTTTCATATGTTTTACTTCCATATACGTCATGTTAAGCTACTAGTAGCTCAAAATTAGAGCTCTGGTTTTATATGGGGTTAATTTTGTTCCATTATTATTGCAAAAAAAAATAAAATAAAAATGTTCAATCAAGAAAGGAAATTTCTTAATTAGAAAAGATTTCGAGTTACTTTGCTGTTTTCATATATTTCATTGTTTCAAATGTTCTGTATATATATTTAAAGAATCTAAAATCTTTATATGAAGAGTTCATCTGCAAAAACAGATAACTATGTTTTTATAAATTTTCAACAAAAAAAAAACACCCTTTTTCTTAGCAGCACCATGTTAAGAGTTAATTACATTCCTCGGTTCACTTTTTAAAAAATGGCATTTATCCGTTTTTGCATATAAACAGCTTTCTTATTGTCATTACATTGTCACAAGTATAGAGCAGTAAAATTCTTGGTTAGATTTTTTTATTAATTTCCATTTACAAGTCATCTTTTCTTTGCATCAATAAGGGAACATTTACTCCATGGTTTCCTGCATGGCTTAAGTCCCTGTTGGCCTAATCGGACTATAGAACCACCTTCCACATGTTTCCACAGAGTTCTGCACAGACCTACCTGAGTTTCTTTCCATTCTCTGTGATTTTAGTGACATTGAGCACTCCACACTTCTCAGAGGGCTGAGGAGGAAAAAAACAGAAACAGTTAAACTCACCCATTCAGAAAAGTATATCTACTAAAGACTTACAAGCACAGAAAAATGTTGAATGGCTGCGATCTGCTGGTTCTTCATGTAGTGTCCACTTTCTACCAGCAGATGGCAGCATAATGCAGACGTTAAAGCAGCTTTCTGCAGCAGGCAGAGCTGGGTCAGGGGTTTGCTCATATATAATTACAGATCTCTGATGCAAACAAAGCCAAACACCCACTACAGAGATTTAAATTTATAAGCAAATAGACAAAATATACAATAAATACTAATAATCTGTCTTAAAACCTGTCTCTGTATTGCTGGTGAAGGTTCTCGGTAATCCAGGTCAGGTAAAAAAAAAAAAAAAAAACAATCTCACAGAATTTTGTTTTCAACTGAACCTCAAACTCAACGCTATTTCTGACATTTTGAATTGAAAAAACTTCCTGGATACCATGGGCGGTTCTAGACGGGGGCCAGTGCCCCTGTAGATCACGTCCTGGCCCCTGTTATGGCCCCTGCACTGAAGACATAATACTCAGAGAAATTCTTATGATGCACTGGAATAGACATGGTTACTGACAGGTTCTTTGGATCTATTTAATTTTTTTTCTTTACAATTTATATTTTACTAATTATTTAAAAACAATAAGGTGATAGCTTCAGTGGTATTGAGATAGGATCCCACTTTTCATCTGCTAAATGTTGTTTTTTAAAACAAATAAAAGAATGCTCTAATTTTGACAGCTGAATTTATCGTATGATCTTGATTTCTTATTCTGATTTTATAGACAACGGTCATTTTAAGTTAAATTAAGTCAAAAATATGTAAAGTTATTAACTTATGAAAGTATATTGACCTAATAAGAGATATAATTTTAATTAAACCTAATTGAAAAGACAATTTCACTTCTCTTAATATATTTTAACCCCTTGTCCTGTTTTTTATTTCATGCTTTTCTGTGCCCCCCTGGAAAACACGCTGGCCCCCACCTGGCCCCCTTGTACATTTAGTCTAGAACCGCCACTGCTGGATACATATTTAAACTTGGAAGCAAAGTCCAGTGGATTGTTTTTTAACTTTCTCTATATTATATTTCAAACCAGTCTCGCTATAAATGGCCCCACAAACCAGAATAAACACAAAAAGATGATTTCACATTTTCACTTATTAAGTAAAAGAAGGGCAATCAACTAACTGTGATAAACTGTTTAGCTTCTGCGTTTCTACTTCTGTATTTGTAGAATCAGAGGATCCTTGCATAGAACCTGTCTGACAGAATGAAGCAGGGTAAAAAGATCTGGAGAAGGAATCACTTTGAGTAATGACTGAAAAAGCTGTTTATCTTATTCCTATCAAAACCATCCCTGACCTAAAAATGAAAAAAGTCCTGTCTAACATTTTACTTACAAAATGATCGCTACAACCTTTAGGCAAATATTCTGTGGGACAAAAAAGGAACGCTTTGAACGGTCTGCACCCCATTAGATCTGGCTTTAAACAAGAAGATAATCATCAAAGTGATGGTGAAACATGGTGAGGTCTTAGTTTATTCCATCCAAATCACTGACATGGTTCTCTAACTGAAAGTAATGAAGAACAAATTCTGCGTATCAGTTCCTGACCCTGAGTTTAAGAACATACGGGTCTGCAAACCATCCAAAGATGATCAAAAAACTAAACT